CCCCCCCCCCACCCTGGAAATCCTAACCCACTATCCCTTGTGGTCTCCCCGTCCTGCCAGGCGAGGCGGGGAGGGCGGCCTGGGGCACCTCTGGAACAGGGCAGGCGAGGGGCTCTCATCATGGGCCCTGCCCTTGCGCCCGGCCCCCGGGGAAGAGGACTGGGCCGGCTTTCCTGCGCGGCCTGGCTGCCACGTGGGTCTGGGCGCGAGTGTGCGTACTTGCCCGCGGTGTCGCGCTCCCACTTCTCAAACAAGGCCTTCCGGGCCTGCGCCCCAGACGTGCGGGGCAGCGTCTGCGACCTGACCAGCTCCCGGCGCCGGGCCTGGGCGGTGGCCGGTGGAGACCGAGGCGTCACCAGGGGTGGGCTGAGGAGAGAGAGAACCACCGAGTCAGGAATATCCCAGCCCACTCGAGCCCAGGGCCCCCCTCCCCCCAGTGGCCGAGGCAGGAACAAAGGAGGCACGGCAGCACCAGGCACAACCTGTTGGGCAGGTTCTGACTGAGAGGTCTGGCCCGCTGCAGGGGGCACCCAATGCCTGGCATAATCACCCCTCAGCAGGTGTCAATTCCTGGGGCAGAAGGTGGACCCCGAACCAGCCCCACCAGGCCCCTCTCCACCACTAGATAAGACCCTCTTTGTTTCCTCCTGAACGGTTTGCCAGAAAGTCACGATTTTCCTTTATTATTAAAAGAAAAGCCAAGCGAGCCCCCCACCCCCAGCCAGCTGGCCTGGGGGAATATGGGGACAGCTGCAGGCTGGGGGAGGGGGTCTGTACCACGAGGGGGGCAGGGCCTCTCTGGGCACCCGCATGGAGAGGCCCTCCCACCCTCCTTCCTCTGTGGGGACGGAGACACCCCCTCCCACCTCCACACAGACCCGCTCTGCAGGGTCCACAGAGAAGCCAGCCTCGGCCACATTTCTCCAAACGAGGCTGTCCAGCGAGCCCCGCGGCCCGGCCTCCCCTGCAACCTCTGCCCGGCTCTCCAAGGTCCGGGTCAGCACAGGGAGCCCAAGTCCCAGGACAGCACAGCCCACCCGGCCGCCTCACCCTGACGCACCTGTCGCTCCTGCCGGCCGATGCTGCCCCATAGCCAGAGCTCAACCTCGGGGTGGAAGGACTCTTCTCTGCAGGACAAGGAGAGGAACAGAAGTAGCCACGGCCTTGGGGAGGGCCAGCCACCGGAGCCCTTCCCTGACCCAACACCGCTCCCTGGATGGGCAGCCCCCCCCCACTAGGCTGGCCCCCCATGGCCAACAGTTGAGGGAGAGGGGCTAGGAGCTCAGAGCTCGGACATAAAAGGTGTTGTAGGCGTTCCCGGCTGCTTTGGGGAGCACAGGTCCCAGGGTGCAGCACGCTTTGTCGCCAGACCCTCATTTTGGAAGCCCCACCCCAGCACACACCACAGGCCCTGACCACAGGCCCACAGCAGGCTGGTGGAGCCCTGCCAAGTGCGCAGGGTGCCAGCCACGTCCTCACCACAGCCTGACCCGGAATGAAAGCCACGGTCTCCCCGAGGGAAGCCGCCAGTTCACGGCAACTCTGGAAGGAGTCAGGCAGGGAAGGGCGCGTCACAGGGACCGGGCACAGGTGGGCAGCTCCGTCCCAGGTTTTCCGAGTCTCTCGCCAGCCCCCCACCCCCGTGGGGTCTGCCCCCAGGCTATGCTCTCCCACTCCTACCGCTGGGACCTGGAGTCCGGGGTGCGGTGGCCTCACTGGGGCTCGGGCTGGGGCCCCCCAGGATGGCGGCAGACGTGGGCGAGAGAGCCGCGGCCGAGGTCTCCCCTGAAAACCTCTCCGAGACCCGAGTGACGGCCGTGACCGGCTGGTGAGGCAGCTGCAGGGAGAGGCTCACGGGGCGAGGCCTGGGAGGCTCTGGTGCTGGTAAGGTTCCAGCGGCTTCTGGGGACCCATCGCCCAGACCTGAAACATGAGGCCAGTGGGGAAGGTGGGGGGAGTCAGCCAAGGCATCTGCAGGGGCCTCAGGCCGCCCCCCACCGCCCAGTAGGACTCCAGCTTCTGTGAACCCTCCTCCCACCTCCTCCAGGAAGGCCTCCCTGACCTCCCTCTTCTGGGGACGCCTCAATGCAACCGGAGTTTATGTCTGTTCCACACTGCTGTCACCATCAGTTCAGTAAATACTACCTAGCCTGTCGGCCACGCTGTGCTGTCCACTGCGTGGACATCTCCTCGGGGCCCACTTGCTTCCTCCGGAAACAGGGAAGTCCATCCCCTCGAGACCTCCCATTTGCCTCTGCGTTGACAGAGGTCTACTTCACCCCGAGTGAAGCCGCCCTCCGGGCAGCCTGTCGGCCTGCTGGGGTTCAGGGCCACGTCCCCTCCCGGCCGCGGGATGGCCCCCCTTGCCGTCGGCCCCTACCTGTCCCAGGCTGGTGCCCGTTCTCAACGATGCACGAGTCTGAGGCCTTTCTTGTGTCCACCTCGCTGGCTTCGTCCTGGTGATCCACGCTCTACAGAGACACACGCACCAGGTGGCCCAGTCAGGCAGGGCCGGCTGCCCACTCCCGAGATTGCTGTCTGAGGCCCCCCCCAGTTCTGGGGACAAGTAACACTGCCGTGTGAGACAGCCCCTGGGAGATACGGTACTGGGCACAGGCCACACAGCGAGCTGGCGTGGACCCAGCCCCGGCTGCTGAGCCCCCACGATCCTGCCAGGCAAACGACTCTCCCGGGCTCACCCCAGACTCCAAAAGCACTAGAGACAAAGATCAGAATGGGGGTCCTGGCAGGGCGCAAAGTGGCCCACCCTTCCCCTGCCTGGACCAGATGCCCCGGCAAGAGCCTGGCCCTTCTCACCCCCGTGTGGCCAGCCGACACGGATGCCCGTGTAGGGGCGCTGAAACCAGAACCCTAAGGTTCTCTGGGCCAACAGCAGGCACTGGGGCCTTCGTGCTGAGGACCTTCCATGGGACGCGGTCACAAGATTTGCCTGGATGCCCGGGATACGAGGGTCTGACAGGCTCCGGGGCCCTCCAGCCCCCCCGAACCTCAGTGGAGCCAATACCGGAGCCCCTGGGGGAGCCGGGGGTCAGGTCATGCCGCTGCTGGGTCTCAGTGTCCCCGTCTGAGATAAGGGAGGTACACTGCAGAGCATCCATCGAGCATCAGGCCCTTTTCTGGCCACACCAGTTACGCCAATGTGCTTCCATCCTCTCAGGTGCGTGCTAACACCCCAACGCGGCAGGGAAAGCCCACGGCTCCGAGAAGAGGTGTCCTGTCCACAGTGACACATGAAAATCACCTGTGATCTGTGGCCTGGAGGGACGTCCTCCTGCACTGAGCTCCTGCCTCTCTCAAAGCGAGGGAGGTGGGGAGGGCCCGGCATGTCCACAGGGCTGGCGGGGTCTGCCTGGCGGGAAGGGGATCGGGGCAGACCCCCAGTACTAAGGGCCACTTGGAGGCTGGCTACACCTCTCCCGAGACACCTCCAGGCTGGCTCTTGCCTGCAAGGTTCCCAGATGACTAAAGACCACCCCTGGCCCCAGATGGCTCAGCGGCCCCTCAGCCAGTGCTAGGGGTGGCCACTGCGCCATGGGGGGATCGCTCTGGCGGGGGAGCCAGGACCTCGAGCAGAGCCCGAGAGTGCGTCCAGCCCAGCAGGTCAGGGAGGGCCCCCCAGAGGCAGCAGTGCCCAAGCCGGGTGTAGGGTACGCCAGGTGGATGAGGAGGGGACAACTAGCGTCTGCACAGACAGACGACTTGGAGTTGTGACGCGTTCTGATGGGCGACTGCAGGGATAAGTGACCTGAGGGGGAAGGAAGGGGCGTTGGTGGAAAAACAGGGACTTCAGTTCGGGCCACATGGAGTGTAAGGTGCCCCTGGGAAATCCAGGAGGCGAGGTCAGGACACAGCTGTGTGTCTGGGTCTACAGTTTAAGAGACAGGACAGAAGGATGGAGGGAACAATGAGGGACAAGCAGGAGTCCTGTGTCCCCGGCACACGCCCAGAGCAAGAAGTGGCCAGGGGTGGAGGGGGCCTGGGGGGAGAAGAGGGGTCTACAGAGGGGCAGCCAGAGGTGCAGGGAGAAAACCTGGAGAAGGCTGGGTGAGGCAGGTAGACACATTCAGGAAGAACACAGGCGTGCCTGGGGCGCCCAAAGGCGGCCTCGGGTCAAGGAAATGGTCGAGATGAGATCTGAACAGCGCTCACTGGGTTTAGCAAAGAAGAGGCCGGCAGGTGATTTAGGGACTGAATGAGGTAGGGGTGGGGCGGGAGAGGGCAGAGGGGGGAGAAGCTGGGAGGACAGGGGAGGAGTTGGAAGGGGCTGTCCCTCTGTGGGGTGTGAGTCCCTGCAGAAGGAGGAAAGGACAGGACTCAGAGCCCTGGTGGGGGGGGGGGG